CACCCAGGACCTGGTCTGAGCAGCCGCGGCTCCAGCAGGAGGCTCAGGGCAGTGCCCGGCGCACGGGCCACCCGTGCCGGCTGTTACCCCCTGTTATCACCACCGCACAGCTGGTCAGGGAAGTGGGTGGGGCTGCTGCAGATACGCTTGGCACCCTTGTCCTTGGATTCACCTCAGTGTTGGGGAAACAGGCACGACACAGAAAGGTCAAGTCGCTCACCCCGAAGCCACACAGGGCTGTGACACGGGAAAAGCGACAGGTCGGCTCAGAGGGCCGCCCGGACTCCCGGCACACTTCCAACCTTGGCTCACCTTCACCTTGCGCTTGCTAAGCTGGCAGCGGACTTGGGCCCTGGGACGTGGACCACCTCCCCCCCACCCCCAGGGACTGAGGCTCCAGCACCGCCTGCCCTGGGCTTTCCTGGAAGCCGATGCTTCCTCTGGATGCAACATTTCATTCTGAAGGACACGCTGACCGAGCCACATGCGATTACATATTCAACAAACACTGCGCAAGGTCATTCTGTGTGTAAAACTTTTAACTTTCCATCAAAGATGCTTATTTATCCACCCTAATATGAGAGTACCAGTGCGGGGAGGAAAAGTTCAGGCGTTCCTGGGAACGCTGGGACTGGCTTGAGTACACTTGACCCCAGCCAACGGAGACAGTGCGAGATCCTGGCAGGCCGCCAGCCCGCCCTGTCAAGGGTCCCCCATCTGTGGCATCCTGAAGTCCTCACGCTGTTCTTTCAGCCGACTTCCTAAGCTGCTACTGTTCTCAAGGGCTCCACAGGGACCCAGTGCTCTGGCTTCTGTGGGGGCGGCGGCACCCAGGAGGGCTGGCTGCCCAGAGGCCGGTTCAAGTGGTGACCGACTCCAGGCTGTCGCCGATACCCTGTCCTTGTGCTCCGGGCCACCCCATCCGGCGACTCCTTTCTATTTCTAATTGAATCTTAAAATTACTAAGGGCTGAATAAATCAATTTGAAAAGAAATGAAAGGGCATCACCAGCATGGTATTTACTGTCTAGAGTTCTTTGTAAAGGTCTCACCAACTGAAGCCCCGTCATCAGAAAATGCCCTTTGCAAAGCAAACAGTTTTCTTTTCCCCGGCGGCCTCTCACCTTGGCTGTATCTGACTTGCCCACACATTCAAAGCCGCCACCGTTTCCTGTCTGACGCCGACAAGAGCGCAGACCTCAGGACCTTTCCTCGGCCGCCCCCGCGCTCGCCGCTGCCCCAGCCGTCACAGCTGAGAGGAGGAACTGGAGCCCACGGGGCCGGCCCTTCTCCCGGCTGGAGTCGCAGAAGCGCTGGGTGTCGATGTGAAGGTCGGAGCCTTCCCGCAGACTGTGGAGTCCAGCCCTCATGTCCCAGACCGGGGACTGAGGCGCACAGAGGCTGCCTGGCCCACTCACAGCGGCCGCCCTGGGCCCAGAGCTCGCTTGTTCTCCGCGCTCACCTAGCCGTGCCTGGGCTCTATCCTTGCCGGGGGGGCTGTGGGTTCGAGGGGGGCATGGAGCGATAGGAAGGGTTTATAAATGTAGGCACCTGCCGCCCTCCCCAGATCTAGGGAGTAAGAACCTTCGGGGTGGCCCTGGCTGGGTAGCTCAGTTGGTGAGAGTAACCTCCTGATACACCAAGTTGCAGGTTCGATCCCCAGTCAGGGCACACACAAGAATCAACCAGTGAATGCATAAAAAAGAGGAGCAACAAACCCATGCTTTTCTCTCTCTAAAAAAATAAAACAATGGCAACAACAAAAACGTCAGGGTGTGGGGCCTAGGCATGCGTATTTTTCAAAGGTTCTCCGTTTAACGGGCATAGCCCAGTTTAAGAACTCTGATGACTTCCAATTTCTCGATTGTGTTTAGTCCATAAAATGGGAATTGAGCCGAAAAGCAGCAATTCAAACACAAACTAAACACGAGAACGAATCATATGTAGTAATGTCTAATGACAAGTTGATTGTCCCTTCCTGGTCACTGCACAGTGGGTCTGGAGACGGGCAGGCATGACTAAGATCTACTCTCAGGTGTGTTTTCGGCAACTCCGTTCCCTCCGGGGCCCCCCAGCTGGAGGGCAGGGCGGGAGCCCTCTCTGCCCTCGCTCCCCGGGAGCAGCTCGCCCGGTGGGTGCAGGCTCTACTTCTTTACAAAGCAGAGCGTTAAAGGTCAGGTTAAGGAAAAATAAGAAAAATTCTATATCCCCGAAATGTCAATAGTTCAGCAAGTGAACAGAAGACACACCGTTAATTTGAGCTTCCGGAAAGCACAAGCCCGTGACCTTTCATACCTTCCACCGCCTGGAATCTGGGACCCAGGACAGCGGGAAAGGCGGTGACAGTCTCCGTCTCTGACTGACAGCGGCACGGACCTGGGCCCACGCAGGCAGCCGCGCAGCCCGGGCACAGCCAGGCCTTGGGCCGTCACGGAGTGAGGGGAGGGGCAGCTGTGACAGATCTTGGGCCAAGCTCGATCCCAGACCTTGCCTTTTCAGATGGTGATTTTATCAAAGTAGCGGAGGGAGCACCACTTTTCCCTGGCTGCAGCCCTGGGCCGGAGGAACCCTGTCCTCCACCCCCACCCCGAGGGACAGGAGACTTCTGAGCCACGCATGCGCTGCTTTAGCCGCCTTTCCTGCGAGCCAGGAACGCCCTGTCCGAAGGCGTCTGATAAATACACTGAGTCGGCCTCTCGGACACGTCCGCCCCCCCAGAACCCCAGCAGCACACCCAGCACCGGAACCGCGCTCTTCCTAGCCGGCGACGTTAATCAGAGAATCACATCTGTGCCCCCAGGAGGGGAAAGCCCCGAGAGACTTAACATCTTTTAGATGTTTTCCTTCTTTTTAAGTAATAGAAGACAGGATTTTGGGTGGTGCTTCACTTCTCAGTGGAGACGAGCGCACATAAACTCTGCCTTTGCAGCGGGGCTGTGCCTTGCTGTCCGGGAGGGTGCACGTGATGAAGACTTGGGACTCCCGGAGCTGCGGGGGCCGGCGGGACCAGCGGGCCAGATTCACAATAAACACCGGCGTCCGCGCGTCCTCCAGGAGCAACCCTGACACAGCTGCGTGGCAGGGCTTTGAGGAAAGTGTCTTCAGGAACCTGAGACACGCTGACAACATCCAACACCGGCGAAGCCCCTTTCAGACAAACACACGACGACCTGAACCCCTGAGCGGGGGGCGGGGTTCCCTGACCCAAAGCCAGACCTGGCCTCGGCCTGGAGTTCACGCGTGTGCACGCCCGCAGGAAGCTGCCTGCCCCGCTCTGCAGAACCTCACTGGGGGTGTAGTCCGTTGGGGAAAAACTCCGCCAAAGGCAATGCTTATAATTTAAATTTTTTTTTTTTGCTTGCATACCCCTTAAAATCCGGGGGTACTACATGCCCTCCCATGCCATTTTAAGTTGACATCTAAAATTTTCTCCAAAAATTAAACAGTTGCAAGAAGGAAAAATTTTCTTCTGGACTGACAGGTCATTATCATGATTAGTGATGCATACATGATTTGAAAATTACATGAGTACAGTATACGCTTTGATAAACAATCACTGGACATGAGTTTCCGGATACATTTTAGAAGTGCACCTCCTGAGGAGATGATGTGGCTTTGGTGGGCGGGGGATGGGGGTGCCTTTGTGGAGTGCAGCTGAGCCCCTGCCACCTCGGTCTGGAAAGGCCCTCTGTCCCCGGGAGGTTTTTACCCCTGGGACAAGGGACGAGGTAGGGTCCAAGATGCAGAGAGGTGCGCCCTCTTCCTGCGACTGTGAAAGGAGAGGCGGCGTGGGCAGCCGGGGGAGCCGGGACACACGGGCACCCTCCGACAGTTGTGTTTCGGGAAGGAGGACGCGTCGGGGCCCTCACAGTGGCCTGTGCCCACACGCCGTTCCTCGCCAAGTCCAAGGAGCTTCGCTGGGTGGCGGGGCTGGGCTCTGCCCACCCACCCACCCACCTCTCGGGGCCACCTACTTCTCTGCCCCTCACCCACGGGGTCCCAGCCTCTCAGCCTCTCCTTCAGATGAGAGCTGAACAAACGGTTTAAAACACTGAAGAGGTGCCAAGGGAACAGCCTGCGGGCCTGTCCTCCCCTCGGTCTGGGTCTCGGTCTCGCTGTGACCTTGAGTTTCACTGAGGAATTTACGAGCCAATTCCACCTGCGTCATCTCAACTTTCCCCACTCAGCGTGTGGCCCCGACTCCATGTGTGAAATACATCGTGTGTGAAAATAACTCTATTTCAAAGAGTTCATCTGATGTTTACATTTTTTTCTAAAAAAAAAAAAAAGTATATGACAGTTTGTAAAAAAAAAAAAAAAAAGGATGAAGGAGGAGGAGGAAGAACATGCGAAGAATGTGCCCGCGAGTGTGAAAACGGCACTAGGGAAGGTGAGGAAGCTGCTCAGAGCGTGAGGGAGAACTGGTGAGTTCCAGCGTGAGACTTTTACTCTCTTTTCTTTCCTTTTCTCTTTTATTCCATTCCATTCCATTCTATTCTATTCTATTCTATTCTATTCTATTCTATTCTATTATTTTTGGTCTCTGGTAGAACGTGGAAGTCACTGGGAAGAGCTTTCTGCTTCTTGGCACTTTTTGCTGTTTCTGCCCACACTGTCTTGTTCTCTCTCGTTCTGCAAGATATTTGGGATTCTGTTTACTCACTTCTTTCTGCCGCATGTTTCTGCAGAAGGCAGATTTAGAAACTGCGGGGAGCGGACCAAGGGCGATTCTTGGAAATCTCTGCTCTTTTTGCTGAATGCCAGCTCTACTCTTTATTTGCCGTTGCCTGAATATTTTTGTTTTGCTTAGTTTATTGAGTTCACTGAACCTATTTGTCGCTCATATCATTAGGAGGTTGGTTTGGCTGTGCCAGTCTGAACCACTGGGGTCTTGAATCGGGAAGGTCAAGGTGGAAGGACACGCCGAGAGGGAGTCCCCGGAGTGCCGTCTGCCGGCATTTGCTAAAGAAATACATTCATTGTCAGGACGGTTGCCCTTACCTGCTGCTTCAGAGCCTCCAGAGACTCAAACTCCAGTCTGGCCAGCTTCACCTGGATGTGCCGCGGTTTGTCAGGTATGGCGAACGCAAGGATAAACTTCAGGGCCAGGAGCGCGTGCTGAAAAGCAGAAAGGGTACACGTGGATGGGCCACATCCGACCGACCGAGTGTGCGAGGAGACAAAGGAGCAGCCGAGCCGTCTGGGAGCCCGCTCATTAATCTGGGGCCCTTCCTAATGACGGGCCTGCGACGTATCAGAGACCCCCCAGGCCCATGAACTGTCTGTAATCCACCCCACTGTGGCCCATTCAATCACTACTGACTTGCTTACTCTTTTAAAACCAGTTATTCCCTTAAATTGATAGCATAGGCTACCCTCATTGTTTTATAGAAAAAAAACCACAAAGATTATTCTGGAAAGTCTTCCACAAAGTGTTGTTTTCCCATTTGCATCCTGATAACCAAAGCCTCTCAAGCGCCCAGCGCTGCAGAGCTGGTTCACTCTTCGCCCAGCAGCACCCTCCCCCGTGCTACACACGCCTCAGGCCGAGCTGTGAGAAGCACCCGTGTCTTAAACACGAGGTGCCTGGGAGCCTGTGCATCCCCAAGAGTGTCCGGTGTAGCTTCCTTCGTGATATAATAATAAGTACTGATGAACGGACTGACGGTGACGCACAAAGACGACAGGGCGGGCGCACAGAAACGCAGAGAGCATCCCTCACGATACGCAGAGTGTGCCTGTTACGACATGGGGCACTGGCAACTTGGCCATCGCATCTCCCTCTCCAGCTCGACACCGCGAGGAGGCTCCCTGCGACAGCAGGATGGGAGGTTTATGACGACGCGTCTTTCTCTGCAGAACGGAAGTAAGCCAGCGGGGTCGTTTCCATGGGGAGGCCGGTCCTGAGCCGCACGGCCTCGACTCACTGGCGGCTCTCCGCCTCTGGCACTGACCTGGGACCCAGGGCCCACGCCCACGGAAATCTGAACGGGCAAGACACTCAAGTTGCCCCTTCGGGGACCGCACAAATTATTGAATATTAAAAGCTGTGAGATGACTTTAAAGGTAAGAAAGTGAAAGACTTTCAGGAATATCAGGGAAGGAGATGGAATAGACTTTAAGAAATGCTGCACTGAATTAGTAACAACAACAACAAAGACGGCTGAAAAAAGGAAATGAGTGCTTAATGATGATATTTTTAAAAGGAGGATGATGGATAAATAACATGGATGTTTCCTGGGAGACGCATGAAATAATGAGGTCGGCATCCGACCAAAACGAGCAATAATTCAATCCGAAGACTTGAAAATCGGCAGAACCCCAGGGCAGCCCAGGCACTGCCTGGTGTCAACCAGAGCGCTGGAGAGGCCAGGGGTGGGCAGCCCTCACGGAAGTGAGACCGCCACGACCGAGGACACTGGAGGACACTGGTTAGGTGTCTGTCACGGCAGCACGAGGGGACGGCAGGGCGTGGGCCAGAGGACGTCGTACGTTACAACTCTGAACTAACTGAACTGCCTTAACAGGGGCCTGCGCACAACCTACGGAAGGTAAGTGTGTGATTCGGAAAAGTGGTGCTGGGCCATTATTTTACCCCATTAGAACCCTGAGATGTGATTGCCCTTACCCTCTGCAGGGGAAATAGTAGGCAAGAAATAAACAAATTCGTGCATGAAAAGAGATCTTCCATGTTTCTCAGAAACCGCGTGCCTTCCCGTTGCCAGCACCCCACCCACTACGGCATGGTCGCGGCTCCTTCCCTCCCCACTAACAAGTGTGCACCGGCTTCCTCTTCCTCGGAGTCTTGGTGGGCATTAGTGAGAGAAAAGCCCCCGAGGGGTCTCCCTTGCACGTAAGGCGCCTGCACCAAGTGTCCACAACTCACGGTGGTTTTCTGCGGAGGGCGGCACTACGGGCCATCTCTTCACCTTTTGTCTTTCGTGGGCGTGCATTACTGTCACCTGGGGAAGAACCACTTGTGTGAAAAAGAACACAGGAAGTCCTCACTTACCAAGCGAGTCCGACAAGCCCTGTTGGGCTCTGAACCTACCTACCTACCTACCTGGCCACACCTGTCCCTATGCCCAGGACACGGACCAAAACCAGGCGACTTGTGACTCAGAGAGTCTGGTGATCCCTTCTTAGTCATTTGCTCTGCGGACACATAGAGAGCATTTGTAAAGGGCCAGGCCGCTTAGAGGGTGGCCTTCTGCCACCAGTCCTTACCTCCCCAAATCTTCTGTGGCAGTGATCCCTGCCCCCATACCCCGCCCCCCACCTGGCGACACACCCAGAAGCTCCACCAACGTGACAGGTTTGTTTGGTTTGAACACATCATTTTTAAAGAGCAAGAACACCGCTGAGAGGGCCAGGGAGCATCTCCATTCGCTGATGCCTGGTGATCAACTGATGAGCGGGTGCCAGCTGGCTCTTCCTCTCAGCCCTCCCCCACCCTCAGTGGCCCCGAGGGCGGGGGACTGGGATAAGCAGCCCCCACGGCAGCTTGGGCCGCAGGGTCCCCGCTCCAAGGGAGACGGGTAGAGACGTAGAAAAGAGCCGACCTTCCCCCAGCAGCTGGGAGAGGATAATTTAGGCATCCACCCAGTTTCAAAAGATTAATTTTAAAAAATCTTGTTTATCTTTTCCATACAGCACATCTGTTTCAAGGTGAGAAACTGCTTTATGCTAACTGAGCTGAGAAAAAAAATTATCAAAAGCATTTTAGCTCTTTTACTTGCTTTTGTAAATACAAGAAAACCTAATATGAAATAGGAATCTGCACAGATTTAGAAAACAACACACTCAAAATGAATCATTGGGTGGGCTTTTCATAGCCTGTTTATGAAAAGAAAGAAGACAATTTCTGGGCCGTGATTGTGATTCTTCGCCAACAGTCTTCTTTTAAAGAAGAACTCAAATAATTCCATCCCAAGCGAAGTAAAGGAGGAAAGAAACGCCGGTGAGGCGAGGTGGGTGGGGGGGATGGGTGGAATTTCAGAACTGACACAGACGCAGAGGCCGGCGCTCCGTGACGATGCGCTCCGAGTGGGAACACAGGGTGTCCCAGCAGGGGAGGAGGAGCGGTCGGGCCCGGAGGAGGTCAGCACCGGGGCACAGCCGTGTCTGGTGCCTGCGGCCAGGTGCCGCCGCCTCGGCCGGCAGCACGTCCTCGCCTGCGGTCTCGGCAGGGCCGTCACACTCTAGGGAGCCTCCTGCCAGGTGCCCGGAGAGCGAGCGGAACCATGTCCTTTTACAAAAACGAGGAAACGCGCGATGCGACCGGAGGCGGCAGCTGTGTTTACAGCAGTGTGTCCCCGGCCCTCTCCTCCGAAATAGAAAATGCAAATTAGGGGCGAGTTCTTGAAATCCCGAAAAGCTCGTCTGATTTCCACAGTGGCGTGTCCACCGCGGCGCCTCCCTCCACGCAGAGCCAGCCGCGCGGTTCACAGGCTGTCACTCCTTCCCTTCAGGGCTTCTGTTTTCTTTCTAGTTTTTGTTTTTTGTTTTGTTTTCCTGTTAACTTATATGCTATGGCCATGGGAAGAGTTTGCTCAGCACAGAAGTGAGTCGGTAAGTGGTCATGTTCAACACCACCTCCTCGGGTCCCCGCTGTGAGATAAAGACACCTGGCGTTTCTTCGACACTGTTGGGCAGAAGCTCCGTCTCGTCTCCTGGGTGGCCACCTGCCCGCTCTGGGCCAGCTGCAGTGTGCCGAGGCCCCCGCTGGACTCGGCCGGGCTCTGGAACTCGCCCCCTCCGGGGGCTGCTGCTTCTGGCCTGTTTCTTGCCGGGGTCACTGCTTCCTCCTCCTCCCCTCACGCCTCCCACTGTCCTCCTTTCCCCTACTGTGCTGCACGGTCATTATGAAGCTCAGTGTGTAAGGAGAGAAGGAGGGAGAGGCTAAGAACTCCCGCGTGAGGGCAGCCTGGTAGACAGTGCTGCCTGCGGCCGTGCTCAGAACTGCTGCGGTTTCAGTGCGGAGAGACTCTGAGAGCCTTTCCATCCCAAACCGACCTTCAGGGACCCGTGTCGGAGCTGAGAGTGCAGTTCTGGGTTCTCCATCTACACGACCCTCCGGGCTCTCTGAGCGAGTGGTGGGGGTGGGGGAGCACGAACTTGGGGACGAGGTGGCCCTCTGTGCAGACAGACGCCTTTGGGTCACAGTGTGAGCCGGGGAGCCGCCTGAGCCTCGCTGGGCTCGCTGGACGCGCCACAATCACCCCTGCTGCACGGCGAGTAGTCGGGACAAAGAAATGCTCATTTCTAAAACTGCTGTGTTACTATTTTGTCAGACTGATCTTTCTGACCACTGCCAACTCAGTCTGGGCCTCTACACCCTCGTGGCAGCAACGAACCAATCGGGTATTCTTCTGAAGAAAGTATGTAAAGGATGTTAGTGTCCCTCAAAGAAGCCTTCTGAAAATCGGACGGTATCTGCTCATGATGGAAAGAGAAAGTACCTCCTCTTCCTTTTGTTCTTTGTAAGTCTTCATTCCTCCAGTGAACACTGGTCATCTGCACGTACAAATGTCCTGCCGAAGGCCACAATGTCACTCACTGCCTGCAGTTTCAGGAGATGTGCTCCTGAGCAAACGCGTCTACCCAAATACGCTACCAAACCGGGAACCTCCTCCAGGCGAGAATGGCTCACACCTCGGACACCAAACCACCAGTGGCACCGGCTGGTGGCCTGGGGGACGGGCCACGAGAGGTCCCGACCTGCAGAGAAGGAAAGCCTGACCCACGGGGGCCGGGGAAAGGTGCTAGATTCCTGCCGACTCCACCGTGGACCTTTCACTGCCGCTGCGGCTAATTACTGAGCAAACGATTAGTCTGCTTAGTTACCGACACATTCTGCTTCATGTTTCCCTGGAGCAAGATTCAGGATTTTCACTACTGAACACATGCGTCAACTTACTATTTCTGTAACTGACAGATTTATAAAAACGAAATGAAATCTCCTCAGAAAAGACTTAGGAGCTCTTCTGGTTTCAGTCTCAACATGTAAAGAGCTTGGAAGTTGTCACTTCTGTCGATTTGACAGGAAAAGCCCGAGAGACTGAGAGTCGGCTATGTCTCGTGGGCCGGTTTGAGGACTGCGGGCACATCAGCGCCCC